ATCCTCCACGTCACTAGACTTCAAGTTTGCAGGGGACAGCCGTAAGCAGACCCGGGCTGTTAAGACACCAGGACCAGTTAGTTCTCTCCGAGAACTTTTACTAGGTGGGGCGCGTGGAAGGAGAAAACATCTGTAAACAGTGCTTGCTCGAGACTGGGGAGCAGACTGGGACACGGATTGCTGGGGCAAGCGTCAAATAGGGCAGATTTTGTGAGTCTTTCTGGGGTACGCTTTAGAGAAAAGAGGAAGGGGTGGGGGCACTAGGAAGCGTCTAGAGTCCCTCTGAAATGCACCTCTTTTTCTGGCTGTCCCAGAGCAGATGGAAGTCTCTGGTCCTTCCCTCTGAGAAAGATTAAATGAACACTTCTGTTACTTGGGGGAGGTGGGACCCAGAGAGGTGAAAATACTCCAGACAATGGCCTCTGGCCATGGACGGATCCCTCCCAGGGCCAGGTTCCCTGTGGAACTCTCCTTACCTTTAGCTGGTATTTCATCTGAAGCCAGTAGAAGGTTCCTGGCTAGGATCTTTGAGACGGAAAAAAGGACCTGGAGAACAAACGTCTCTTGAATCTACTCCGAAGCTAAGAAACATTACAATAAAATTTACAGCGCCTTTAACAACTCTCAAGTAAGGCATTAAAATTCTCTTTAATTGAGAAAATATTGATTTTCTAAGTCTAGAAAAAAGCGAAATCGTAATTTAGCTGCAAACTTTCATTCGAGAATAAAGCAAGTTATGCCGCCATATAATGGATGCACCCTTAATCCCCACACAACATCACATCTTTAATTGCCCTACTTTGTGGGGTGATAAAGACAAAAAGATAACCCGATCAAGGCAAATGCTTTATTTTTTAAATATAGAGAAGGGATCTAGAATAATTTTTCCATTGATGTATGAAAAGAATTGCCTATCATTTTTTGAAGTGGGGGCAGGAAGGTCCAATAGGGAGAAAAGAAATAAAAAGAACGGAAAACCACAGACCACTCTAAAAGCCACTCACAGTAGCAAATCCGTTGATATTCTTTACCAAAGGAGGAACGAAGCCAACGCATTTAGAGCAAATGCATTCACAGGCAAAATTGCATCCTCCTTGAACGAAACAAACCTAGGTCTATTTTGTTACTTTATTCCCGGGTCCTGGGGTGGGGGGTGGGGTGCAGAACCCATTGGTGGATAGAGGAGGGGAAGAGAATCCGACTTTCTGTTATTTCTGTATCGGTTTTTGGTATTATAGAGGAGTGAAGAAGTTTTTGTGTGGTGGTTTTTCATTGATCAGTCACTCTGAGCTAATGTAATTATCCTCATCAATAGGACGCTGCAGAGAGAATCATTATGTGGGTGACATTGATAAATGACCGCCCAGGAACGGCCCTCTCTCGGGCAACCCCCACATCTGACCCTCCCACACACACAATGTAGTCATAGAAACACCTACAAGGACCTAGAGCGCCGCCCCGCCAGAGGCCGGAGAGGGAAGAAAAGCCTCCGGCGGGCGAGGTGGGGGCAGGAGGGGGGTGGGTTGTCCAGATCCCAAACAGTTGCAAGACAAAACCAGCCAGCGGCATGCGGGACGGGGCAGAGTGGCGGGAGGGGACTGTCCCCGCGCGGCCCCCCAGCCGCCCGGCACAGTTGCCTATAACAAAGTGCAAATCTGCCCTGCAGACCGGTCCATTCTTCCACACCTTTCCCCACGTGCGACTTCACTCCAGGCCACCAAGAGATGCTTGCCCAGGCACACACTGCAGGAGGATTTGGCAAAGGAGTTTAAGGGTCAGGTCATCGAACTTATAGGCATAGGAGTCTCACGGGCAACCCCTCTTCTCTGCGTTCAAAACACCCCAAACGCACAACAAACAACCCAAATACCACAAAGGCAGCGACTGGCGACACCTCCCCCTCTGGCGCTCCCGCGTTATTTCCTGAGTGACCCCTTCTTTTCTCTTCACCTCCTAACCCAGGGCCTCTGATTATGAGATAATGGATTTTGCGATTGTTCCTGTCAGGGGCAAAAAAAAAAAAAAAAAAAGTCCCCTACCGAAACCCCACGTTTTCATCTTTCCACTGTTTTATTTAAGCCAATGGGAAAGTATTGAGAGCAGTAATTGATTCATAATGATCCATAAATCGGTGTCGGAAAGCGGGAGGTGGGGCGGCGGTGCGAAGAGAAGGGGGCGATGCTGTTTATTTATTTTATTTCTAAAGCCTCAGCTAAAGTAGCTTTGACACTGTTGGGGCTGGAGGGGAGGGGCCGCTGGGCTCTGCCGGATCATCCATCATTCCTGTCACCCAGAGTCTGCCCGGAGGAGCAGTAGACGCAATCTCCCTTCTGTCTCTACAGCGAAACTATTAATATTAAAACCTCCCTTCAAACACTGCCCCGACGGTCCCCATTCTCATCACGATCTGACCGCCAGAGTCCAGCGCTGCACCTTTCTCCAGCCGCGGTGGGACTCCGGGGGGCTCCCCACGCGCGACGCCTTTAGTTGACCACTGCAAAACAAACTGTTCCGTGTCCCCTCCATCAGTTTGCAGCGGGGTCGTCTGTGCAGCACACACACTCGCGAGGGGGAGGCCTTCTGCATGCACTACCGCCAGCCAGATCCTCCTTGCTCCCATCCTTCCTCCCCATCTCCCCTGCCCCTGGACCACAGGGGGGCTGCCTAGCTAGGGCCACCCTGTGTAGACACCTCAACGGAGGACCCTCTTGCATAGTGGCAACTTGTAGCGGAGGTCCAGGCTCCTTATCAAATTGCTGGCCTGCAAGACTAATGGAGAATTTGTGGAGGATCCCTTTGAAGGAAAGGCCCCCCTTTTGACAGCTGCTAGAGATATTAGCCACATTTCCCTGGCCGGGTCTGCTCCGGGTTAGCAGGCCGGCAGGAGTGGGAGGGCCAGGCAGCGAGGAGGACCTTGATGGGCTGGACAGACCCATCCAGGGAGTTGGAGTGGGGGTTCAGGGTGCTGACCTGGGGATGGGTAGGAGAGGGGGAGCATGGAAGACTCAGCCTTCTCTGGACTTTTCTTTTCCTTTAAAATGTGGCTTTTTGCTCAATTCCCAACCCTTAACAGATGGCGACCGCAGCTCTCTCTCTCTCGGAATTTCTTGAAGAAAGGGAAACCTTTGGAGTTTATTTCTGCTTTTGCTTTTCCATATAAATAAAAAAGTGTTTTTATATTACTCTTGTTTTGGAGAACATAAGCAATTTTATTCAGACTACAGTATTTCCTTTAACACTATATGGCTGTCAAAACACCATTCCCAGTTTCTTTACGTCTGACAGCTGAGTCTTTCTTAAATATACCCAAATCGGAACTCTTTAGACTAAATAGTAAACCCGAGAGAGGAGCAAGCGCCTTCTGAGGTGGTATAAAAAGCACTATAAAAATTGGACAAATTCATCATCCCTGTCATAGAATGGGGTGGGGGTGGGGCAAGGAAATGCATAGATATTACTTCAATTATCACTCATCTCCAAATATCTAAGGTTAAAATTAGCATGATAGGATACAGATTGGCCAAGACAGTAAGCTTAAGATGAATTTGTGAATTCAAACTAAGGATCAACAGCTCTGGGCTCTACCCTTCGTGGAATAATGTACTAACTCCATAAAACACTTTTTATAAACATGAGCTTGTGATCAAGGAAACCCTTCAGCATTTACCTTACCGAAAGCAATGGAAGAAGAAACTGCCAATATAAATTATTTTTCCTTTCAGCTGATGTGAGAGTTAGTTTAGAAATGAGGAACTTGTCAGGGTTTACATCAGAGCATTTAAACATATGCAAATATTTAAATTTTACAGGAAGGCTCCATGGGAAATGGAGCAGAGAAAATGGGAAAGAAGCTGTGTGTGTTTTACAAGATCAGTGTGTTTGTGTCAAGCAATGCTTTTCCTAGGTTTAAAGAGCAGTACAGTAATTAAAGTGATAAACGCACTTATAAAAATTTTACTTAACAATATAAAAGAAAACAATAGCTATTTATACTCTTGCTCATTCACATGGAGAGCTTCCATTAAGGCTGTCTAGAGAGGAAACATGGAAGGGCTTGCCTAAGATGCCACTATGGATTGCTTCCAAGTGTCAGTTTGGAGGATTAGTGAACTCTTCCCCTATCGAGTTGAATCATCCATCTACCTCCTGTTTATTGTCTCTTTAAATGGAGGAGTCAACATTCAGGAGTTAGGAAAGCCTAGACAGTGTATTTATTTGGAAAAGCTTACGGTGTGCGGGTGCTCAAGCTTTGTCCACATTTCCCACACTTTAGCAGACACTGTACAATATCAACAAGCCTGCGGCTCTAAATTACCGAGTGAAGTTTTGAAAATGCTATCATATTGTCTGCTCCTTTCCTTTTCTTTTTTTAAAGAAAAAACTTTAGCCACCAAATTGTCATACTTGCATCCCTGCACATGGAAAAAGTATCTACGGGAAAAGGACAGCACTGGGTCATTTGTATTAAATATTAATGCTTAAGCATCCTTTTAAGCTTAGGATTTCCAACTCCATAGAAGGTGTTTACTTAGCTATAAACATCTATATATAAGCTTTAATTTACATAGCCAACGGTATTTGAGTAAGATGGGAGCAATGCACATAAATCATGTTTGAACACACACATTATTTCTTATGATATAAAACCAAGTTGGAATAAACCCTTTATTCTAGTGGTGGGTGCAATAAGGCAAAAGCTTTATCTGAAATTGCTTTTTAAAACATCATGTGGCGATAATAAGACAGGCTGGGCATTCTGAAGGTGGTTTCTCAAGCCGGTTATAATGCACACAGTTTCATACCTTTGGAAGTTTTCTGCTGATGAAACCTAAGAGTCCAAACACACAATGAAAAGCTACCAATGATGACTTTAAAATGTTGGTAAGTTACATCTGAAATATGCTCAACTTCCCGGGGGAGGGGCCATCACCTACTTCCATCAGCGCACAGTAGCTGGCATCCTGCAACCTTCAAACCATTAAAAACACCAAAGCCTAACA